ATTTTGAACAATATTTTCTATTCCTCCAGAGGGCGACAATGCGACAGTTTTCAAGGTCAAAATATGTCGCGTTGTCGCATTGTCACCCTATCTAAGATGTGTAAAAATTGACTAAAACGCGACACGTGACAATGCGACATATTGAATATGTCGGGTTGTTGCCCTTTTCAATTACCGGTGTGCATGCGTAGAAAGTCAATTACTCTACGCATGCGCAGGAAAAGTATTACTCTATTTCACACTTCGACACTGCAACACGCAACAATGCTACAACGCGACATTTCATCAAAATGTTTTTGTCAATAGGTTATAATGCATACTATACTCAATATTTTAACAAAGCGCGAGACGCGACAATGCGACAACGGGACATGTCATCAATCATGATTATGTTTCGATGTTTTTAAAGGGCTGAGATACCCAGGGATCGAACTCAAAGCAATAATAAATGAACGTACATGTGGCCGTTAAGTCTGTGGGTTACGAGTCGTTGGTTAATGGAATGGATGTATTCAAACTGGCCATTTTGCTGAAAATTATTATGATTTAGTAGGTGTATGTTTACAAGTACATGTGTATCGCTGGGTATAGTATCGTATGAGAAAATTGTGAATCATGGCATGTCCAGGATTAATTATATAGGATTCAAATAGAATTGAAAAACAGACATCACAACACATTATTGTAATTAAATACCTTGCTAATTTACCAAGCTCCCTTAACCTTGACTGAGTGGGTGAGTGGAGTGGAGTGGAGCGGAGGGAGTGGAGGGAGGAAGGGTTGGTTTCTGGCACTGCAAGGGTACGCAACTCTGCCAAGCGATTTCATCGTTTTTTAATATCATAATGATAACAGTCCATTTGTATGGCGTTTCCCCAAAAAGAATATCACGTTCAAAGCCGACCAAAACTGTCTTTGAGGTGCTGGATGGTTAAGTGATATTACCATCTCATTCTACCTGGTAGCCATCCACTTCTGGCTGAACAGAGGCAGATGTCGGACAAATTCATCAGCGTCGGACAGGACTGTACCAAGAAACTCTGTCAGGAGCCAAACTGTCGAACATAGTGACCCATTCGAGGACATCACCTGAAAATGTCCAAAGTGATGAATGTGAATGGTGCTGGGATTCGAACCTATGATCATAGTTATCTGGTGTGACTAAGAGACACAATTCTGCACAGCAAATTGCCCCACCTTGAATGACAGGGCCACCGTGTGCCGTGATTACAATGAATAGTAGCGCTAATAATTTGTCTTGTTGCTAAAACACACTTGATTGGCTAAATACATTTACAATATATAAAATAATTTTCAAAGCAACAATTAAAGATTTGCATTAAGTTGAAGAAATGCAGCCCTCATTGCCAATACGAGCACTACTTCATTTTAAAAACCATTGGAGGTAACAAAAGACCAGTGAAGTCTGAAACAGAGTATAACTCTTTCCTGCGCATGCGTAGACTAATTGACTTTCTACACATGCGCACCGGTAATCGAAAAGGGCGACATATATTCAATATGTCGCGTTGTCGCATTTTAGTCAATATGTTATAACACATACTATACTCTAGGGCTGCGCAATATAACCGGTTTACTGGTATTTACCGGTTCAGACATGAAAACGATACGTTTTGCGATACGCTGCTCGAAAACCGGTATTTTGACAAGCAGTCGGAAAACTTCGTAACACTCGGAAATCTTCGGATATTTCCGTTTTTAAATTGTTCCTTTCCTTCTTTCATTTGTGCCAAACATTATTTACATTTTTATTTTGTGATGATTAAAAGTTTTTATTAAAGCCTAATCAAGCATTGTGATTTTGTAAATCAAGCATTAACTCGACCATAAGTAGTTTTTTGTTAAAAACACCTTCTTGCAATATATTGCAATAAATGCTTTCGTATCGCAATCTATCGCAATATGAAAATTCCCTGCAATACACACCCCTACTATACTCAACATTTTAACAAAGCGTGACACGCGACAATGCGACATTTCATCAAAATGTCGCATTGCTGCGAGTCGCGTTTTAGTCAATATGTTATACATAGTATTACTATACTCAATATTTTAACAAAGCACGGGACATTTCATTAAAATGTCGCGTTGTCGCGTGTCGCGTTTTAGTAAATTTTTAGTCTTTTTTTTACACATCTTAGATTGGGTGACAATGCGACAACGCGACATTTTTTTACCTTGAAAATTGTCGCTATGTCGCCCTTTGGAGGAATAGAAAAGTATTTTTTTCAAAAAGCGACAAATGGGCGAACGCGTTGTCACATTGTCGCGCTTTGGTTTATTTTGACCTCATTTGCTTGCTTTTTAGTGGGCGACAACGCGACAATGTCCCTTCCAGGATTCCATAATAAAGTGTGTTCCACGAAGGGAGTAGTTTATGCAAAACACAAACTTTTACAATGGAATTTTATGGTTAATTCAATTCACAATCGACTCAACCTTCAGCAGACATTTCTTACGGATGTCGTTTCTATTTAAGGGTGTCATGACTCACGCGGTAACCAATGTTTGAAATAGCAATACCTGTCTTGTTGAAACACAATGGAACAAAGAAGGCGGTGCGTTAGATATCTGAAGTTCTCACCATGCAACGTTCGCCCACAGTGACTCATACCAGGTGCAAAAACCTCCGCATAAAAGGGGCAAGTGTACTCTTTGAATAGGGTGTCAGTTGCACATCGACATCTTGTGTCAACACAAACTGCTGCTTTGAGTAACATGTCGATGCAGTAGGTTATTTTTGTAAACATGATCATAACTGCGTTAAAAGTATACGTATACGAACCTTTAATTCAGGTTGAAAACATTACTTTAGTTAATATACACTGCCAAAAGACTAGATTTACAAGTTTTAAAGAGTCTTGTGTCATCTATTGCAATCACTTGAAAGTGTCGAAGCTGCTTTGTGCTGAGCTCTCGGTTTGTTTCGGATATCGATATGTAATTACTAACATGCTCAAGTGCACCAAACAGATTGTATAGGTAGTGAAAGCTTTCTTGTAATCACATGCAGTGCTGAATTTAGTTTGGTGAGCTTTCCGTTTGTATGGTATATGTAAATGGTCGAATTTCGCTTATTATTACGATACTGCAATCAGTCTGAGCTCGGGTTAATGTTGTTCACATGGACAAGCAATGCAATAAGCAATGACTGTAAATGTATCGCATAACATACATAAAAATAGTATACAGACGTTAAAATACGTATCATTAACATGTGCATGAAAACTAAAAACGTTTAAAACGTTTTGAAGATCGCCCGAGAAGCGGCCGCCCAAGAGATACCACCCAAGACCAGGACCGCTACATCCGGGTTGCTCACTTGCGTCATCGTCTTGCCACAGCCGTAGAGAATGCTTGCTTCGACCGCACCCCAGTTTTGTGCGGATATATCGTCAGCCATTTGTGTCAAGATCATTTAGTTGAGGGTCAAAATCGGGTTTCAATCGACTTGCAGAAATAACAATAAAGAATTGGTAGGTGTCATGAGTGGTGCTCGATAGGCCAATCATCCATGGTTATGTTTACATTAAGTTTTAAACGATTGCATGCGATGGTAGCGTAGCGATCGGCAGAGCAGTCGTAGGGGGTGCATCGAAGTGTCCGGCCTTGTCATAATGTATTGTACTGTCAAGCTTTCGAGTCGGGGGTCATCTCAAAAACAATATTTTTTAATCATTAATCCTTGCAAAGACACGAGGGCCTGTGTGGCCTTCCCGATCACCAGATTTTAAACACAATAGAACTCCTATGGGATTAACTCAATCGACGTGTACGTCAAAGCCAAAACACGCATCAGACACTTCCACAACTGACCATCGCATTGCAGGAAGAGTGAGGAAAAATTCTGCAAGAGCGACTTCGTCGACGTTTCCAGTCTATGCCCGGACGGTGCCGAGCAGTAATTGCTGCCAATGGGGGCCATACAAAGTAGTGATTTTGAAACACATCGATAAAGGCTGGTGTTGTGTTGGCGAACTCCCTGTCTATGGACGTGTGAATTTTCAAGTTTTTACCATTGAAATTACATGAAATAATTGCTCTGCAACTAACGCAATAAGTTCTTCTAAATATGGCTTATGCGTTATGCGAAGTGTAGAACTGAACACATAACTCCTGCTCTCAAAACCTTGCACTGGCTTCCCGTCTCCCTTCAAGATCTGTATTATCACCCATAACTGCCCAAACAATGATAACTATCCTTCAAACCTTAAGGACATGATCTCCCTGTATTCTCCTGAACATGCACTTCGATTCTCCAGTGGGGCTCTACTTAATCAGCACCATTTTGGTTAAAACTGTGGAGCGTGAAATTATCTGGGATTCTAACCCACAAGCAGCAGATCGTGTTACGGACGCACCTGTCTGAATGATGAGAACAAATCCGGTCCCACATAACTTTCGCTTTCATATTTCACAGATTTAGTTTAGCTTTTATTTATTATCAGTGGACGTCCAGTCTCTCGTTTGGTTTAGTTTATTATATCTGGTTTATTTCTGAATACGAAACTCTGTGATGTGGTGGATATTATCAACATTGATATCAGCCTTGTTTGTCAAATTTTGCAAGGTCAAAAGTCACAGTTACATTTCCTTTTAACCTCAGGTTTTATTGCAAGTAAACATTCTCTAACCAATGAATACAAAAACATCTCTATAAACTTGGCAAACTTTATTTCACCGTATTACAGACTCATAATAAGTGTCTCTTTTATACCACAGGGTGTATACATTTCCACAAATTACTACTGGATGGGCGTGGTTGGGTTTTAAAACCGACTGCGCCAAGCTTGCAAGCATGAGAGAACAAAGGGAGCAAACTCTTGCTAAGAACTAAGGAAGATAACTCCTGCTAGAAGAAGCGCACATAAACTACCTTCTGTTAAAATACATTTCACATTTAAAATAACACTTGAAACTAAGAAACATATATTGAACAACTTTTCGTGTTTTCATGTGCGTTTGTTTTATTCCACAAGGCCATCTTACAATCAAGACTGCCGCTGTTCTGTGCATGAACGGGAAGTTCGATCTTCGCACCACTAACATCACGCCCAAGAAGAACCACGAAAAGTTTCAATGTATGGGGAGCTTAGTCACAGTGTCGAATGTTAAAGTACTGTCGGAAATAGAAAAAAAACAGTTTTTAGGCTGTTACTCTGTATCCCTAAAATTTACACAATTGCAAATAGCATATGTCGAAATAACCCACCTCGGCCTAATTGGGCGTTCAGTGGGATGCATAATACGATATCCAGAAAAGCATGTTTACTCGTACAATCGGACAAAACTTAGAAAAAATACGAATAGCTGCTGAAAACAATAGATCAGACTATAGATGGCAATTAGGTCGCTCAGCCAGGTATGACGACGGACCGTCGACTCACCTGGCATGAAATGCACGTACTGCCTACAGGCACAAGGGGTCATCTCAAAGATATTTTTTCCTTTTCATGTGTGTTGACTATGTCTCATCTATTGATTAACATCTTATGTGTCTTTCTTTCATAAAGTTTATGTTGATATATGTAAAAGAATATGATACTCGAAAACTATAGAAACGTATCGTAGTATATAGGTGGAATGACCACCCGAAGATCGACAGGACTGGATATTATTTGTAAATTGTTATGACGTGCCGTGTTCTTCCCCAGTATAATTGCCCTCAAGGATTATCTTATCCTAGCTGATATCTCTATCCCCATGCCCGACCCCAGGTTTTGCTTTTGAGGCGACCCCTCCTATCTGTTTCTATTTATAGTGACAGTGAGACTGCATGGTAGCTACATCCTTAATAGTTTCAGCATAAAAGTTATTATTTTTTACGTCAGCTATCGTTTATAATGAATCTACGTCTAATTTCAAATCTGGCATTTAAAAAAAGGTGTCCTTTGTAATACAATATCGTCGCACACTAATTTGCATAAAGCCATGGTCTGTTCCAAATAAGTCTTTTTGGACTTAGAAAAAAACCGCATTGCTCATTTCTGCACGAATTTCCCCTCAGTAAAGTCCTTTTTCTCCTATTCCTATATCTCTACCACTGAGACTGTAGTTAGGCCGAGCTTAGTTTAACAGATATTTCACACTTTCACATATCAGCTACATAAATTGTAGAGATAAATGAGAAAATACAGTTTTTTTTCTATTTCCGACAGTACTTTAGTCAGTCCTTTCAATTATCCAAGATCCCATCAGACTGCGTGAGTGAGTGAGTGAGTTGGGTTTAACGTCAGTTATTGACTTTATGTATCAGCAAACAGGAAACATCCACTTGGGTTTGTGGCTGTCAAACTAGTAGTCATTATGTATGTATCTTACTTAATAGCATATATTAATATCAAAACCCATTTTGTAGATTGAAAGCTATGAATACATTTATAAATATAAATAATTTGTATGACATTCTCAAAATTTATACGTGTAAAAATAAAGAAACAAATTTGCATTTCCCAGGTTTGATAAAAAATATCAACCCCAAACAACAACAGCAACAACAAAAAACAAATATACAAAAGAAAGGAAGCAAAAACAACAACACAAAAAACCCAACACATTTATAAATGTCGCATTACTGTAAGGAAGGGTGTATATTTATCAATATTTATGTACACGGTATGGGCCCAATACTGCCAGTTCATTTGACAGACACGCAAGACGTACTGATATTGAATTCTTTATTTTGATTCTTCGGGAAACACACAGTACTGTTTTCCAAGCCCGTTTACAGTTGAGACGTAGATGCAATAGTTATACCATTGAGACCCATGACCGTCAGTGAATTCATACAATGTATAGAGGAGTTTCTCGGAATTGCGTGCAGCGAAATATGCATATTCTTTGAAAACGCACGCTTGAATGAGTTTCTTAGACGAACTTAGTCAATTTCAATGAATCGTATATATGTATACCCGTTCCTAAGAATTACTTTTAACCACATATTCAATGAGTTTATACAAATGTATTTATGACGGTCTCTTAGAATTACAGGGCATTCTCCTGAAGAATCTGTACCGGTAACATATATACCGTGCACACTTCCATCTTCAAAAGGACCGTCATGTTTAAAGCTATCTCAGCACACATACCCAACTCAAACAGAGCATATTGACTATACGTTGCATTATTCCCTACAGAGTACTCTGAAGATCCCACAGACCATTTCACAGACTCTTTCTTTCAATAGCATTTACATTTAAGGAAGGCAATTCATTGCTTCAGGTGTGTGATTGGCTGAAAAGATCAGGTAGTTCGAACTGACTGATGGTTGATGCATACACTTGGTATAGTACACACTTGGTATAGTGTACACTTAGTCGAGAGATCTGTGTGGATATACTGCTGTGCGGTGTCAGGTAACAGATATTCATTTTATTATTCAGATAGTGTGAGCTGGGGGTGGTGCGTGTAGTGCAGGGCATGCTTACCCTTTTCTCGAACACCTGGTGTCATCACTGATTTTTAGGGATCTATTCATAAAATATTCACCTCGATGTTGCCTTTATCTTCCAATGGAATCTCTTTCGGAGAGTGGTTATGTTCTGTCGTTGAGATTTTGTAATGTATTAAAACATAGTTTTGTTCGCCTTCGAATGTCAAGTGCACAGGGTATTTCAATTTTATCGTGATTAATACCATCTAGACAATTGAAAAATAATTCATTCTTCCTCAGTTCGATTAAAACACGCCATGTTAAGCATAGTATACAATCCAATTACACCCTCAGTTCGATGTTAGTAGTGATAGGAAATATGTTGCTAAGGACGTCACTTCCTTAAAGTTAAGTTTTCAACACGCGTCTACTTTCGGTCACTGCTCAGTTTGCTTCCAGTATTATCAAAACAACTTCATACCCCAGTGACTTAAGACAGAATCAGTATATTCCCACTGGCAACCAGTTAAAATATAAAACTGGACAATATATTCATTCCAAAAATAATTTCTGTGTAACTTGAGATCGGACACTTTGATTAGCCACTCATTAGATACACGGAGCTGCAATTATTAACGCAGTGGAGTTTTACCGCTTAGTCTATTATTTATTTTCATTAACATTCCGGTTCCAAGCGCTTCCACGCGCTTCCGGAACAGATCACTTCTGCTGAACAAACAAAGAAAGTTTCAGAGTTAAAGGGTGCCATTGGTTCAAAGGGGAATAATAAAATAATAACGGAACTTTTCTGCAACGTGTGCGCTTACATGTAAATGTTGGAGGTTCTTGCTCCCACGTCCCGTTGTAACCGCAAGTGTTTTCGGAAGTCCCGTTCAGTACGTAGCCTGGACCACACGAATACGTGCAACTATCTCCGTACTTCACTCCTTGAATACATTCAACACTCCCATGCCTCGGACTGTGCAAGATTCCACACCTGCGAACTGGAGTATATATGTTACAATGAAACCTCTTCACCTCGACTCGTGTTATTGATCACTGGATTGTCTGGTCCAGACTCGATTATTTACAGACCACCGCCATATAGCTGGAATATTGATGAGTGGGGCGTAAAAGTAAACTCACTTACTCTTCACCTCGAGCTCGAGGAATTTTACATGTTTAAAGCCATGTTTAAGGCCACGTCTAAGGCCATGTCATATCCAGAGAGCAGAAAGATGGCTGCCGTCGAGCCAGTATAACGTGTCTGAGTATGATATCCATGTTTAATTTCGACAGTGAATGGTTTTACGCTGGTTTGAGCTATATTCCACCAATATCACGGCGGGGAAGACCAGAAATGGGCTTCACACATTTTACACTTGTGGGGAATCGAATCGAATACATTCAACACTCCCATGCCTCGGACTGTGCAAGATTCCACACCTGCGAACTGGAGTATATATGTAACAGTGAAAAAACCCTCGACTCGTGTTATTGATCACTGGATTGTCTGGTCCAGACTCGATTATTTACAGACCGCCGCCATATTGCTGGAATATTGCCAATCCCGCTCACTCACTTTTTTGCCATCGACAACGAGACAAAAAGTTTACTGTAAGCGTACTAATTGCATTTATGCAACTGAAACCAAATAATGAGTTGAAAGTATTCTTCACTGTTAGCACTACCGTTTCCCTTGTTTCAGGAACAAGAATGGAGCGCAGTTTACCATTCTGCTTGTTGCTTTTTGCAGGTAAAAAAGTTCACGTTTTGCTCCACTTCGAAATCTTTTGGTTTTACTTGCAATTATGGAGGCGTTACAGGGTAATATAACTCACGCTTTTGGGATATCACTGTTAGTAAATCTACAATGTTATCACACATTGTGTAGTAACATCGCCTCCTGCCGGAACTATTTGCACTCATGATAGTGTAATATCTATTACTGCATTATGTTAGCAAAAGTACAGTACAATGGTTCTTGAGCTCACCGCAACACGCTTGATATGCGGTTTACAAAGCCATTTGATAAACGAACACCATAATCAATGTGCTCTAACGCTTCAAGACTCTAATATGTTTTTTGTTTGTTTTGTATTTACAGTATTCCTTGACGACGTGAACAGTTGTAGCAGAAGTGAGTGTACACAAGACTGGCGTTAGGGGGTAGTTAAAATACTGGATAAATGTATTTCATGAAGATTTACAGAAAAAGAGTGTTTGCATGGTGGCTCGAAGAAAAAAGTGTAGATCTTGGCGGCGGATCTGAAACATATGTTCTATCTCTGACAGATATTTTGTCCGTCAATAGATCCCCAATAGTTGGCCCCTAAGCTTATTTAACAAATGATTGATTTAAACATATTTTATTCACAAATGTGAAACAAGTAATGATCTTACCATTATTCGACCCTAACACAAAACTATGATATAAACTAAGTCAGATGATTTGATAGGAAGACAAAAATAGAAGATTTGCGAGAAACTCGTATTTCTAGGTAACCATTACATTTGGATAACTGCACGAAAGTTACTTTTCAAATGAAATGGTTTGAATTTCGAGACCAACCTGAATATCTTTAATTGAAATATATCCTTATTTCAAGGGATTTTGTTCGATTATATATATATATTAGTTTAAAAAACGAGTCAGTGTTTCTATTTATTTTATGTTCTATATTGTTAAGCTGTCCACAATATTGTGTATGTGGTGAAGTCTCCCCCGGAACCGTTCTGCCAAAACATCTCTCCTGTCCACTACACTTCTCCAGGGAAGGTCACTGCTATCGTTACGTGGTCTACTGCCGCGGCTACACAAACGATCATGTAAGTTTTCTTCATATGCACGTGTTTGCATTGGCCTCAAGAATTGAAAAAACACTTTTAAACCACAGTTCTAACGGTACTTGAAATGCCACGATTGTCAAATGTGCAACGTGAACGTGCCGTTGGCATGTTGCAAGCGGGAAGATCAGTTATTGACGTCGCAAGAGCAATGGGATGCAGCCGTCGTACTGTGTATGACTTGCGAGGTCGTCTACAGCAAACTGGCACCACTTCTGATCGCCCAAGGTCGGTTCTCCACGTGTGACGTCACGAGCAGAAGACCGTCAAATCGTCCTACGTCACCTACGTGACAGATTTCTGCCGGCTACACGAACCAGGGCTGAGATGTTTAGAGGTCGACTGTCCTCAGACCATTCGAAATCGGTTGCCTTGTGCCAATCTCCATTCTCCACGTCCATATCGTGCCAATATTGACGTCGTTTCATCAGGTCACTCTGTGATAGCCCAACGTCACCTCCGAACCCAGGTACTGAAACGAGTCGTACTTTAGCGCAAAATTCAGGTTTACCCTCCACAATCGCGGACGGCAGGCATTGACACTGGAGACTTCGTTGTGAACGGTATGCCCAATGTTCACAGGCTGTCTAGTTGTGTTTCTTTCTGGCTTCCTGACTAACATTGGAAACCTCCAGCTGGTGACCATTGTTTACAGTGGATACAATATGAGAATAAATTTGTTTAAATAGGCTGTTCTGCTTGTGCTATCCAGTGACTTGTGATAGCTTAAATGAAAGGTAAGACATTGTACTTTATTGCAAAATTCTTTTGGTCCACAATCTACTCATGGTGACAAGTGGCAGGTTGGTCAGCATGCAACAGGAGAATACAGCCTACGACCGATATTAATTATGGTGCACTGGCATGTCACTGTAGATAGCAAAGAAGGAAAATAATTGTGGTCTGAGGCCTGATATGGTGAAGGTAGTGCAAGTGTTTAATTTGCTATATGTCTGTTATTTTTCAAAATATTCACTTGAAACTTTGCATATTTACTGACAGGAACATTTGAAATCTATATACATGTGTTTTCAACTGAAAATATTTTTTTTACATTTTTTATGAATTTATTTCAATTTTCTGATTGCATATTGTTTTAGTGAGTGAGCGGACGCATCATATTTAGTCAGATTGGTTCCATTATGGTGAATGTATGTATCACTACGCCGCACGTGCCTTTTAGATGCATGTGATACCTAAAATGGCTAATATTCAAGCCTTTTTCAAAAGATATAGAGCCAAGTTTGTGAAGAATTCAGTCCTCAGTGAGGAAAATGTCATATGTCATATGTGGACTGGAGCATGCAAGCACAGTGGGTATGGGGTATTGAGGTACTTTTGCCCCATAGCCTACCAGTGGCGTACTACCCATGCTCACAGGCTGAGTTTCATAGTACACACGGAAAACTTCGACATAGGTGATTACGACATCAGCCATTTGTGCCACAACAGTAAATGCACCTATGTCGAACACTTGTCTGCTGAGCCACACAGCATAAATGCAGACAGAATGGCCTGTGTAAACAGGGGTGTGTGTAAAGGCCATGCACCTTTCCCAGATTGCCTTTTGGCATTGAAGTTATAGGAGAACAGAAAAACAAAGGCAAAGTATATGAAAAATACAATATCATATAATATAGTAAAATTTTATTCATATTTCCTGATTTTCACCACAGTCACAGTTGGTTGTGAAATAGCACTTATTCACAACGCATAGCTTTAGAGACATTATGATGTATTTAAACTTAAAGTTACACAGTATCTGTCTTTAGCAAGTAATTAGCACATACAGTTCTGCAGCATCACTGCACATTTTCAATATTTTGAATAAGAATGTTCATGTTTTTTGCTGAAACAGGGTACAGGGTCTAACTGACCCTTTCTGTAGTCCCCACTCTGCTTGTCAGTCTGTTTAGACTTCAAATGTTCACAGATCTTGCTTCCATGCTGTGTAAGTTTCCTTTTCACAACACTGGGGCTTTTCTGATAGTCTTTGTGATAGGTAGCCTCCTTGTCCATTTGTGCAAGTGACCGCACAGCTCGGCTTGAAAGTTTCACCCCAGAATGGTCGCACTTGTCGATTGCTGATGTCCCAGGGCCATTGTTGAGCCTGTGAATTGTGGAAGAAGCCCTCCCAATCATGTTCCTTGAAAAGTTTACATTCTTTGGCAAAGATATACTCAGTGATCGATTGGCAGCTTCACATTTCTGTGTGTCTGTGTACAGTTTCATTTGTTCCACCACTTCTACACTTAACTTCATTTTGAGAATTTCATTAAGCAAGTGTTTATCATTGTCATCCATATTGAAATGAGTGATACTGTTGCAGCCGAGGAACATGGATCGCTGCCACCAGCTGTTTGTTACACCTCCTCGACACACAACTGAGTACCGGGCACACCTGGAGCAGTCGCCGCTGTAGCACTTGAGGGTTGCTTCGAGCACTCTTGGTAAGATACTACGAAGTGTTTTCATGTCACCTGCATGATCTTTCATGAGTTCTTTTAGTATCAGGCTGCACCGTGCTTTGACATCCTGGCTCAGTACCTTCTTTGCTGCCATTTTATGTGTACGAGTAGTGCCGGGGAACATATCTGGGTTAAAATCAGCTCTGTAACATTGTCGGAACTGTCCTTGAGCCAAGTGGGTGGGGTCAGCTAGCCTTTGCACCTTCCACATTGGGTCCAACACTTTCAGAGCTTTGTCTACTCCATCTGCAGACTTCGAATCCCCATCGGTTGTGGCATACTTTATGAGTACACCCTGTAGTGCGAGCTGATTACCAATGTCCTCTCCCATATTGAACTCAGAGAATGGAGTGAAGGCCGACATGTTCGCAGTACAGTCTGGGTGCCCCCCCTGGACATTTCACATCCATGCCTTTTCCTTTCAGCCAGGCACCAGTCCAGCAGAGCTTATTCTGGAATGACGCACCGATGATGAACTTCTTGTCAGTAACAGTTTCGCAGGCGATGCCGATTGCTTGTGATGCATTCTGCCCTGGCTTCTTCCTGCTTGCTATTGTTGTCGAGTTGTATCGGCCATCCATAGCAATGTTCATCTCACATGGCTCAGTACCCCTCTTTCGATTAACTTCCTTCACTAACTCCACCTTTTCTGCCATATCCTTAGTGTTAAGTTCAGTTACAGCCTTAGCCACCTTGTTAGAGGTCCTCTGCATACTGCTCCTGCATGGGGGGTGGAATGTCCATGTTGGCCATCAGTAACCTCGCTCTCGTATTTCCTATAGGTGTGTCCTGTAGACCCAAGGCAAGTCCGACGTTTGGTGCTGCTGGGTTTGGCCCAGGTTTACCCGTGTCGATTTCTTTGTATAACTTCATTTCAGGTGCTACAAAGTCACATGTGACACATTTCAGTGTTATTTTCCAGCATGCTCCCCATTTTCTCTCCTTGGCTATCTGCAGCTGAGGGTCGTCACAGTCACTGGATGTTGACCGATGCAGTCGCAGAGCTGTGTTCCATGCTTCGGACACCTTTTCATTGTCGACTAGTCGCATACCCTCCAAGTCATCATCTTTGCTTGACTCTTGTTTCAGGTCATGCTTGCTGGTTGAAGTGGGACGCAGCAGCCTCACTGAAGTAGAGATGCCATCGCAGTCAGGTGTTGACAGCCCAGTGCCATCCAGCCTTGACTTGGTGACCAGGGAGAAATCTTCTGCACTCAACCTAGCGACTGTCCTGGGTATCTGGGGTGGAGAGGCACTTTCCGACTCTTCCGATTCAAGGGTGAGACCTTTGTTCCAGGGAGTATGGCCTTTGCTGAACTGTGACTTAATTCTCTTGCGGTCGCCTTTCATCGTGATTGTGTCGAATAGAACTAATGAGCTCTGAGCACAGCATGTACTTATATATCCCATCTCTGTGTGTTGTCACTGGCACTGACAAGCAG